AAAAAAAAAAATCAAATTGGGAGAAAAATAGTTCAAGGTCCAGTACAAGTCTTTTTTTTCCAAAGTGGTTCTTTGCTTGAGGGCATCATGCTGTCTTAGTGGCTGTTCCAGGCTGCTTAACCAGTAGGCCTGATGGATGAGGGGAGGCACCAGGACTTAGCATGGCACCATTAGGAAGAGCCACTCAGTTTGAGACTAGGCAGGGATGTCTTGATCCTGGCCAAGTCCCCTTGCACAGAAATCAGAACTGTAAGTATGCAAGAGTTCCTGAGGAGAACTTGGGCATTTGGATTCTGTGGGCAGCCTGGTCCAGCAACCACTAAATATTGGCCAAATCCAAAAGGAGCAAATTTTATTCACAATCTCATGGGGGGTGTGTGTGTTAATTTAGAACCCATTTTACTGAATGTCTTTTCTTTCCTTAAAAAAAACATAGTAGACTTGGTTTTTTGCTATTTTCCCTGATTCTTCATACTAGGTTTCTGTCCTTGTGTTTTGAAATTTATCCAGAGGTAGTAAATAAATACCTACCATTGAAATCAGGCAAGAAAAAGTAATGACAAAAATATACTATTTGCAGTAGCAGACTTAAGAACAAAAATTAACTGGATTTACTAGAAAATGTATGATCTATATTCACTGATTCAAACAAAACTTTGTACGAAGGTGAATCTAATTCATCAGTTTAGGATATCCCTTCATGCATTTTGGAAGTATAATTTATAGAATTTAATCTGGCTTTTGAAATAGGAAGTATACTTTATTTGGGCAACGCATTTGTGTTTTGGATTGGGATGATTTAATAAAAACTGAATAACATTACAGAAACCAGTCTTTTTGTATGGTAGAATGCTGCTTGAAAAAAAGATTTTGATTTTGGCTAGTCTAGTAAAGAGAAGGACCTGGGGAGACATGATAGCGGTCTTCCAATATTTGAGGGGCTGCCACAGAGAGGAGGGGGTCAAGCTATTTTCTAAAGTACCTGTAGGCCAGACAAGGAATAATGGATGGAAACTGAATAAGGAAAGATTCAACCTGGAAATAAGGAGAAACTTTCTAACAATGAGAACAATCAACCAATGGAACAGCTTGCCCTCGGAAGTTGTGGGAGCACCATCACTTGAGACTTTCAAGAAGAGATTGGACTGCCATTTGTCAGAAATGCTGTAGGGTCTCCCGCTTGGGTGGGGGGTTGGACTAGATGACCTACAAGGTCCCTTCCAACTCTGATTATCTGTTATTTATTTTAATAAAAAATGAAGATTGACAATTTTAAAAAAATATCTTTGCTATTTGAATATATCTAAGGATGTTCTCTGACAGTTGAATCTTACACATTGTTCAAAATTCCCTACTCCTCAAATTGGAGTAATATCTGCCTACAGTTCTGCTGCATAAATATTTCTCCATATCCTTTCCAGATTCAATAAAATGTTAATATTTACTATTTTTATTAGAATACAAAAACTACTCTAGTGCGGTTACATAATGGTTTAAAAGCTTGGTTCAGCTTTCTCATTTCCTTTACAAAATCATTTTTACAGTTATATTTCCTCTGGGAAACAGATCCATCTTCCTTTTCATGTATGGTAAACGGATGTCACTATGAATAGAGGGCACCGGACAACAAAAGAAAATCTCTTATCGAGATTTGTGGCAACCTGATCATAAAACTTTGATGTTCTGCCTATTAAAATGGCATCTTGCTGAAATTATAATAGCGTACATATTTTATCCCCAACTTAAAAACAAACAAACAATGGAAATACACTCTGGGGTGGTTACAAAACTAAAAATTAAATCTGCAAAGGTTTTTTTTTTTTCCTCCCAGTAACACAATTGCGATAGAAACATTCTCAGGAATATAGAAATGAGAACAAATGTAGCCGTTTTGAAAGATGACATTATTCCATTTCACATAGGGACAAGAAAGGAGGAAGATTCATATGACTGAGACGCCTGTTTCTGTACTGGAAAAGCGAAATGAAAGGAGAAACGGAGAGCAATGTCTGAGACACCATCTGCACTGCTCATTATGGAACCTTTATTGTCTAAGGTACATTAGACTGAAACACTGTAGAAAACCTGTTAAGGAAAAGAAACAGATTGAGAGGTAGCAGAGTCACTGTAACAGTCAGAAGATGGCTTACAAAAATGTGTCACGCTACAAAATTATCATGTTTCCTCTTTTTTTTTCCAAAAAAAAGAAAAAAGAAAAGGCTACTTTAAACCCAAATAGCTAAATAAATAAGAAGCACAAATCATACTAAACACTAGGATTTAACTGAATTAACAAATTGATACAATATGGATGAGAAACGAGGAAATTACAAAGCTTGGAATTCACACGTAATATGGTGGCCTTTAATGACAGCTTCCCTTCTCCCTCCCCATTTCTTGTTTAATTAAGTGAAAATCTCATTTCTGTGCTATACACAGCATATAATTATTTAAACTGATTTCCCCTGCTGTTGTTCTTCGTGAAGCTAAATGATGATTGTAAACTTTGCTGATTAGTACCCTAGTAATGGCAATGACAGCCCTTTCCTCTTTGTGTGTCAGATGATCTTCAGGAAAAGCCCTGAAACTCTAAATAATAATGAAGATCCTTCTAGATCAGCTCGCAAAGACCAAAAAATAAAAAATAAAAAAATATTACAAATAAAGAATTAATGAAATCAAAGACACCACTCACCAAACATGATTCAAAAATAAAACACACACACAAATCAAGCAACAAAAATTGTGATAGTTGTATGGGGCACTGAAATAATTGGGGTGGGGGGAATGGATAAGCAGAAATTTGGACAAAGAAATTACCCGCAGGCATTCCTGAATCCTCACCTGTTAAAATAAGGAAAAATAAGTGCTTGAAGGAGGAAAATGTAGCACTTGATTATGGATTCCCTAATTAACCAGTTAGGGATATTTTGGTATTATCTGATTCATAAAAATAGATGATTTGAAGGAAATGAGGATGAAGTGAGATGCAGGAGACAGAAAAAGGGAGGTCTGGAATATGTCTGTGTGAATTTCTGCAAAGTAACTTCAAAACAGATTAATCAGTTACACAACAACTGCACAGACATTTTATACTAATCCAGGGTTACAGCTGGGTTACAGCTGGTGCAGAAATATAAGGAATAAAATAAAATGAAAATTCCAAACTGGCAAATTATATACGAATATTACAACTGCATTACAGTTAACAGCAAAGCAAGAACAGTCAAGTAATTTGCAACAAATAGAATCCCAATTCAAATATAGACAACACAAATTCAGAACAGAAAAAAAATTACATATTAAAAAAATCTTTTGAGTAACCCCGTCTTCTAGGGAAAAAAGCACTATCCCATTATTGTAGAAGTAAACGGTTGTTCTCCATCAGTATTAAAAGATTAGTGCTATTTCCATACATGTAAAATTATTGCTTTTTTGAAAAATATAATTAGCATGCTAGTTTTCTTTAAAAATCCATTTCCTGCCTTTACAAAAATGTTACAATTAAAAAAAACTAGTAAAGCTTTTTTTTTTTTTGCAAAAGAAAAACATTCACAAATATATTCAAGGCAGCATTTTTTTTCTTGATGATGATGATGCATAAAATTGTTTATGTGCAAAATCTGAAACTCTGAATTATTACCACACAGTGTCATAGCAAGAGAAGGAAAAAGTACATGCGGAATATACTTTTGAACAAGACAGATACTGTGTGAACAACCTGCCGCTTCTTCTTCCCTCTTACCTTTAAAAACTTGCATTTTAAAAAGTTACTGTAGAAGAGGTATATAAAGCGCCTTTTCTCACCCCATTACTCCAGTGATTACCGTGCCGAATCACCCTGTGCCATCAAACTTGCTGAATTTGCACTTCCCAGAATTCCAAGCCACCATGGCCAACAGCCATGCTTGCTAGAACCTTCTGGGAAATTCCAGCTCATCTAGAAAACACTAGATTAGGGAAGCTTGCTATCACAAAACAAGTGACCCCCCCCCCCCGAAAAAAAAAGTTAGAAGAATCCATGAAAAGAACTTGGTCTTGCTGCACAGAAATGCAGTCATCTCCAGTATCATAAAACCAGAGGTATGCCTAAACATCTGCTTTTAAAATATATTATAAGTGTATCAATCAGCCGCTTTAAAAAGCTGGGTGTTTTTTTTCCCCTTTTTAATCTAATTTTTAAAAGCATGCATACTTCCTTTGTGACAGATCATGGAAAACTGCATTTTAAAAGAAAGAAAAAGCAGATTAAACAAACAGGAAGGCCCTGAGAGGGGGAGAAAAAACAACACAGAAGCCTTTTTTTTTCTTTTTCTTCTTAGTGTTTGACCAGCTGTTTTTTTCCTTCTTCTTGCCAAAGTGAGAAGAGAAGCGTTTCTTAAGAAGTGTTTTCAATTTCCATATTCGCGTACTATTAATGGTGTGCAGCCAAGGATCAGCCCACTGGAAATGGAAGTGGTCCCCAAACTATCGTGAAACAACCTCACTGCAGAATGATGGTCTCTCCCTTTTGTCCCTTCTGTCCTTCATCAAGTTTGGTTTTTACAGCACTGAATAACTCCTTCCTTCCTCTTCTTCTTCTTCTTTTTTTAAGTTGCATTTCGGGAGTGACAGTTGCTTAATCACTCCTTCCCGCATTCCCAAATCCACCCTGGATGTGTGTTTCTTTTAAATAAAAATAAAACTTCAAACCCACCACGAGGGAAGATTCCGTTGCAGTGCCATCATCCAAATATATGATGTTTAATTTTTTCCAGTGTCTAAAAATGTTATCTTGATTAATATATATGCTTTTGCACTACCCCAAAGCTTGCCAGCTCTTCTGTTTATTACAAAGGAAATAAGGAACTGTGGGGACTGATTACTATGTCAATTTGTATATATCTTGGGTAGGTTCTTCATTTATTTTAAAATGATTAACAGTTCAGAGACATCACTCTTCTAGCAAAGCGCAGAGCCCGAATCTCGCTATAACACAGTTGCTCCAGGGACTGGAGAGATTGTAAAGATGTTTTCCAGCTGGCCTTCTAAGGGGTTGATGGAGTAATTATTTGGAGGTGATGGGAACCGTAGGTCAGGGTACTGGCTGTTGTCAAAGGGGACCCGGTGTACACACTGGACATGCGTTTTTAGGTTCCCTTTCTGAGAGGCACTGTATGGACAATATCTGCATTGGAATGGTCTCTCACCTAAATGGGGGGGGGGGAGAGAAAAAGAAGCAAAACATATTGTTATTCTTATTTTCTGTAATAGTAGCTGCTGCCCCTGCTCTGCGCACTAAAGCAGTTAAGCAATTTAATAATTTATAATGGCCCTAGCTACCTTTTTTTATGAGCATTACGAATATTACTGTGACCTAATCCATTAAAATGAATTATTTTTAATCACCTCTGATGAAAGCAATACCCCATCAAGCTCCTATAAACTCCATGCTACGTTAAAATAGCAAATAATAAGAGACTGAAAGAGTACTTGAGGAAAGGTTAACAATGGCCAGAAGAAGGATAAAAGACCAGAAAGAAGAGCAGAGAGCCAAATGTTATAGTATCTGAGGGGCTTTGTGATTGACTGAATGATATGATGTGTCCTAAATTAATTTGGGTAACAAATATGGATTAAAGTTAATGGTTGCTCCATGGTGACTCATACTAAAACGAGGCAACCTGCTGGTTTCATTGCCCATAATCACAAGGATAGAAAGAAACAGACACAGACAGCCTAAAAATGAACAAACTTCTGTTTTCATTAAATCACCACACTGGTTTCCCCAAATGGCAAATTCCAGGTAAATTAGAGCTGTCATAATACAAGTAGCCCTTGAATTATTACCACAATTGAACTCAAAAGTTCTGTTGTGAAGAGAGACAGATGTTAAGTGAATTTTGTTCCATTTGGCAACATTTCTTGCCACAATTGTTAAGTGAATTATTACAATTATTAAGTTAGTAACATGGTTGTTAAGTGAATCTGGCTTCCCCATTGACTTTGCTTGTCAGAAGGTCACAAAAGGTGCTCATATCACCCGGGACACAGCAACTGTCATAAATATGAGTCAATGGCCAAGTATCTGAATTTTGATCCCATGACCATGGGGATGATGCAATGGCCATAAGTGTGGAAAATGATCGTAAGTCACTTTTTTCAGTGCTATTGTAACTTTAATTAGTCACCTAATGAACTGTTTTAAGTTGAGGACTACTTGTATACAACTAGCTCTGACTCTAGGAGCGGGCATCAAATAGGATAAGTCTGGAATAAAGTTACTTTTTTGTACTTGGACACTTGGACATGTCTTTGGCTTAAATAAATACTATTACTGGACCACCATGTCTTTGGCTTAAATAAATACTATTACTAAAGAGGAATATGTCAATAATTTTTAATAACCCAAAATGTAAGCAGTCAACTTAATGACATGTTCTCTTTCTTTTATGAACAGAAGTAAGCCTCTTTATGTGTAGAAAAAGTTCTGTGATTGTTGAAATACACTTCAGAGATGCTGTTTTCTGCCCCATTCCCTTAAACCTCACTAGCCTTGACAGCTGCTGTAAGCCCAGACGGATTGGGACAACTCAACACAGTCAAACCACCATGGCCAACTCCCCATGGGAAACTTGACATGGCCAACTTGCCATGAGACAACTTGCTTCGGGACAACTCAAGAATTCAATTTAATTACTTAAAATCATTTAAAAATATTTTAATTTTTGTCACTCACATTTCATTTTGTCTCTCCTTTGGCATCCTTCTTTAATGATTCTATTCTACTAGTTCTTCAATATCAGTGTAACTCTTGTTCTGCAGCAAGTTGCCTGTGACAAGTTGGCCCGCGGGAAGTTGTCCATGATGAATCGCTGCAGCCAGTTGGCTGTGGTGAGTTGTCGTATATCCAAGCCAAAAAGCCTGGCCAGGGGAGTGGTTAAAGTTAAAATGGGTACTTTAAGCCTTCCTTAGACAAAGGTACTAATTGTATCTTAGCCCTGTTCCCCAAACTAAAACAAACAAACAAATGGATAACATTTTTGTCCCACCTCTAGCAGGTTTACAGGTGGAATTTTGCCATTCTTCATGGATTCAGAGATTTTAAATCTCTGACCATATTCTATTACTATGTCAGAAATTATATTCTATTGGCTAACTTGCTTCAAGCAACATGCCAACAATTAACCAGCTTTTTCACCTGATTCCCAATAATTTAATTTCAAACGCTTCAAAGAAAATTCAACCTGTTCAGCATAACTACATCTTAGCTAATATAAAAGCATAATTCAATTCTGTAGAAATTTTGTATGGGCCAAAAAACCCACAACTTTTTTCAAACACGTTTATCCATTTGCTGATAGCAAAGATTTCTAAATTTCATTCTCCTTGCAGCATAAGCAACAATTTAGCTCCTTGCAATAGCCTTATATACATCCCAAATTGTTCAAAGACTAGCTCAATTATAATTCTAAAAAATGTAGTTTGTTGTCTAACATAAGTGAGAAAATAATCACATAACAAAGATATACTAAAATACCACTTATTGTTAACTAACAATATTTTTAAACTGAAGAATGAATGCAACTAAAGCGTGGTATCTTCTTTAATACTGTGAAAAGCTAGCTGTCACTCCCAAAAAGAAGGGAAAAGAGAACACAGATCTTTATAAATGTAAATATACAGCCACTGACTGTCCCAGTTTCTTTATACTCTTTACCTTTAAACCCAAACTGAGAGTAAACAACCCACAGACTGAAAGAGAGCATTTTAAACAGAAGATTTTGTTCTATTAAATAAGGCATATTATCATCTATAACATGGGTGGGCAATTATGCCCCCTTTACGACCTGTGGACTTCAACTCTCAGAATTGCTGAGCCAGCATAGCTGACTCGGGAATTCTGGGAGTTGAAGTCCACGAGTCATAAAGAGGCCATAGTTGCTTATCCCTGATGTCTATTTTTCATTGATAAAAGCTATACAAATTGGCATGGTGCAATTATATTATATTGTCATACATAACAGGCCTCGGCAATAGGGAAAACAAATTCACACTGATAATAAAATTCAACATGGTATGACAGCCATAGAGGCATTTAAAAAAAAAAAACTCTCCGATTTTGACCAATGTCTATCAAATTAAAATTAACTATGTGTTAAAACACACAAACCAACCACAGGGGCTATTTAAAAACCAATGATTCTCAACATAAGATCGTGAACAAATGCAAGTTTGCAGCTCAAGGCAATGGAATTCTGAGAACGTCTGGACAATGTGACTTTCAGCGGCCTGGAAAGATATAGCTTACACTTATGCATTAACCTTAAACCAAACCCTTGGTGAAGGGAATCAGGCTATTTTAAATTAACACAACATCGGACCCAACCACCGTGTGAAAATATTCCCAGCAAATTTCAAGCTGTGCCTATGGCGCTCCTGGAAAAGCTAACGAAAAGCCAGTGTTGCTTGACATAATGTATTAAGTATCTGTCCTTTGTTAATAGATTTAGAAAAATCCTAATTAAGGCTGGCCGAAGATTCATGACATTTGCTAGTCAAAGTCTGCTGTGAGAAAGGAAGATTTGCAACAAAATTAAAGGGGGCGACTAGGGGAGGGAGGAAGCATCTCTGCCGACTGCCATATATTTGAAGTGTAGAAATGGTAACAGAGTGAGAGACGTGATAAAACTTATTTAGTTATATACCGAACTGCATGCAATAAACTAAGGGAAATGCTTTATATTGTTTTCATAACTATCTCAGAAGATGTTAATCATTAAATTAAAACAACACACACACACACACTTCAAAACACACCACTAAAACATCGCACGTGCACATGCGCGCGCGCACACACACACACACACAGATGGGACAGATTATGGGTACAGCACAGAATGTGATTAGATGTTGTATGGTTGAGAGGAAAATAAAAAGGAACTGTATGTTCCCATTTGCCTGGGTAGGAATGGTAGAGGAAAAAAAAGAATGGGAAAACAGACGGAAATGGAGCAAAAAAAAACCCAACAACCCTTGACTTGTAATTAAAGTATTTAGGGGGAACAGCCTTCCTAATCAGAGATTTCCAAGGAAGGGGCACACCACAGTTCCAGCTGTAATTCATTCCCAGAGGAGGCTAACTTAGAAGCAGCAAAAACATGAAAGGAGTTATCATTGTCCCACAACATCTGAAAGAGAAGGCCAGAGGCTGTGATAGTAAACGGGAAGAAATGAGAACTCTTCTCTAAGCAGAGCAAAGGAGGAGAACTCCCTATGGGGGCCACACCAGAAAAGGTGGCCATAGCCAAAAGCCAAGGATTCTATTCTCATATACTTATATTATTGTGTTTGGAGCAGAGCCCCCAATGCTAAATTAGAAAATGCAATTATTGACTTCTGGTTTGAAGGGTTTCGGGGACAGACAGAAATCCGCGATCGTGCACGGTTTCTGTCTGGGCTCGCCGCTGGAGCACCCCGAGCTGGCTGGTTTTGGGGCCAAGCCACCCCATAGAGGTGGTGAAGAAGGGGGAGACCGCCAGCAGGGTCGAGGAGAGCCACATCTCTCCCCCTCAGCTGGCCATTGCTCCCTTTCCTGAAGGCGGTTACAGCGGTGGTCAGAAATGGCCACCACAAAGAAGAACTCGACCGGAAAAGAATGTGCAGGAGGAAGATAAGAAGTGAAATCCGGCTGACCGGATTAAATTATAAAAGCAACAACTAAGGTACCCTGGAATATGAACTTACAAAAAAATAACATCACTCCCAAAGAAGAGTCAGAAGCAGCGAAGGAAAGTGAAAAGAGAAAGGTTTGGCTTTTTTTAAATTCTCTCTCCTTCCCTATACTGACAACTAAAAGACTTAAATAAGAAATCAGAAAAATCCGCTTTGACATGAATAGGCAATTAAGCTGAAAATAAAACAAAATGTCAAAGGAATAATAAAGATTTCTGGACATTAAAAATATTCTTTTTCATAAGCAGGAAGGAAGAGAAAAAGAATAAGGGCAGGATCTGGAAGAGGGAGGAGACTGCCTGGAATTAAAAAGAATCTAAAATAAAACTTCAACAAGACTTCTAAAAGATACATTTTAACTGAAACTTTGCAACTAAATAGTAACCCCAGGAAGAGAAAGTGAAAAAAAAGAGCAAAAAAGAAACAGTTTGCATGTATTAGGATTATTTGGTGATCTTTGGATTCTTGGTTATTA